GTAACATCTGTTTAACATATATATATTTTATCAAAATTGTGTTCATTTTCTTAAAACAATTTCAAATTATTAACAATTCCAATAACAAAATAAAATATTTTATACTTAATCTGTTTGCTTCATAAGTGGTAAAGCCTTCGCACAGAGTACAGGGCAATGCCAGCATGCACATCCGTGCAATATGACTAGCCTCCATGCTGTGTGTTGTTATTTAAATGCCACAACTTTAAAGATCCATTATGCCCAAGATATGCCTAATTTTATTTTTTTAAGCTTTTTTATTTTTGTCCCTTTTGTGTCTAAAAAGTTACACTTTGTGCAATTGATCTTTAGTTCCTGTTTCTTTTTGACAATTACTACAATATTGTAATTTAGATTTTTGTATGGAAGTCAAAATACTACTTTGTTTTTACATTTTTCTACTTTTATGCCAAATAACTTCACATTGAGTGCTACTTTCTACCGGTGATTAGCATTTATTATGTTCAAATTTATTATTAAACTCAAATATGCCCTTTCTAACAAAGAGTTTTAAAAAATATTCGTTTCCGAGGTAAAATTTGCCTTTAAGCTTATGTTCTAAATTTAAGCAAAACTTGCAGCAAATTTAAGTTTAAAGTAATAATCATTAATATTTAATCATCATTTTCTATTTGATACATAGATTTCTTTTGCCAATATTATTTTTGGGAATAGGTAAAAAAAGAGTTTTTTTTATTAATAAGATATTTGATAAGCAGACCAGTAAAATTCTAAACTGGAAAAAAACTAGATTTACTTATTATGACAACATGAATAAATATGTATAATAAATAACTCATTGTACATCCTAACAAATCAGAATAAGTCATCTTAAGAGATGACAATTAGAACTAACAAACACAATCTTAAAATTTCCCTGATATTTTCTTATTAATAGATGCCCTTTTGAAGTAAATAATAAAAATGTGACATATGTTCTTTGAATTCAAATACCTCCTCTTGATAAAACATGGTAATAATCCAATCATGACATAAAGTTGAAAGTAGCTGTCCAAAAGCTTACTCCATGAGGAGAGAAGAAACTAAATCGTCGCGTTACACTGTCACAAAATGAAAAAATAACAATAAACGACAATTTGGCTGATAAAGGATACAACTTTAATGTGTGTAAAAAACCAGTCAGCAATAATCTACATTTTTTGTGTTACAATACAAGTGTAGGGTAGATGCAAAAATGTATGTGCATAATGTAAGTATAAGAATATTTGTTTATTTGTGTACACGTTGATATAGCAGATATATGTTTATTTTATGCAGTACATTTTGTTAATTTGTGTAAAAAAATGTAATTATTAGTACAATTGTTTATTTGAATACACAATGTAATTACAAGTACATGTTTTAATTCGTGTACACAATGTTATTACAATTACATTTCTTAATTTGTGTTCGCAATGTAAATAGTGCTTGATAAGAAAACCACTGCTTGAAAAGTTTCGGTTTAAATAGAAATAATAAAGCTTGTGACGGATATGCTAGTTAGTGTTTTTGAAAATGACTTCATTTATAAATTACATAGTGATAGGTTTATAAAATGACAAGATATCAAATATGGGCAAAAACTGATCGATTTTTTAAATTATTAATCATGGCTTGTGAATTGGAAATAATTTGCGTTCGATGAAATTGTAATTATCATATTTGAAGAACACATTAAAAAACAGAAGCAAATGTTTGATTTGTAACTGAAATCAAATTTAGTTTTAGAACGAAAGTACCATTTAATAAACAGTTTAACATATATTTAACTTGGAATATGGAATATGCTATTATAACAATTCCACATTTGTCTTATAATTAATAATGGCTTATTGTCAATATAAAGTTTTCTTAAGAAAAGGAATCATGTTCTTTCAGGTAGTAATATTAACGAAACACTAAATATAAAAGAAAGAAAAAATATTCCTAATAAACTTGATTATAAATAACGTATTTCTCTGTCACCTAATAATGAAAGCTTGCATTCACACTTTTAGTTATAGAACTATCGTTGCCTAGCAACTACTATAACGAAATCACAAAAAACAGCATGGTCAATGAATGAGATAAAACACTGTATAGTTAGTAAAGATCAATAAAATCAATGTACAAGGCAATAAAAACTTGTATTTAATCTAATCTATAGTGAGTACCCAATCTATGGATCAGAGTAAATAGGGTAGCAATAATGGTGGTACAGTAATAAGTTATCGATTCCGGACAACGGTTTCTATTATCCGGTTAATTCCCTAGGTGCTTGTCAGCGTATATACCAGTTCTATTGCCTCAACACAAATTCTTGTCTGTACATGAATATTTATAATACATTTTTGGAAGAAAACCATCGCCCTTAATCTTACATATCCAACGTCGTTGGGTTTTTTTTAAATTGAATAAAATACTGCCATTTAACCAGTTTGCTTTTTTTCTTTTCCTACTTATATTAACACTGACTTTAATGTAAACTATTTTTTACCTTAAACATCATTTTTTTTTACCTTAAACATCATTTTTGAATTTGATATTAGTAAACCAGTCAAAACAATTACATCTATTATGTTCGATAAGTTATCTTTTTAGTATTTATTGTTTTATCAACAATATCATCAGACAACTGTTTCCTTAATTATAAGTGAACTAGATACATTTTTTCTTTCAAACTGACACAATGACATGTTTACATGTCTCTATTTTTCATTATTGCAAGGTACTACTATTCCTGAACATATTAATTATGTAGTGATTTATCTGTACATATAAACAACGTGTTACGAAAGATATCTCACTATAATGAGATCTAAACATTTTCTATCAAATATAACAATATACTAACTAATTACTTAAATTCTACTTTTTTTCTAGACAATCAATGATACATGTACATAGTCAATGACAAAACAATTTGCGTGTATAGTATTTAATGAGAACGAATGAATATGCACCGTTGTAAGGCTGCCTTTGGGTGGTACCCGTGTTTCACGGTTGTACAATACATACATACAAATACAAGAAAAACATACAACTAATACTGCATACCATTACACGCACACCGTAAAAGAAATCTGCATTAAAACGAAATACATCAAATATTGACCTCAAATAAATAAATGGATTGAGGAGTTCTTACTTCAAACACAAATAAACTTAATTAAATAACTTAAAATATATTTTGCCAGGTGACTTAAAATCATAAATTAATTTTTATGTTCTAAATTTTTGCATTTTAAATGACACACATAACCAAAATCTTATAAACAAATTGCCCTTTTATCTTAGAAAGAAAGGCAAACTGTTTGTCAATGGTAACAAGGCATGTTTATCAGTGGTTATGTGAATAAAAACATATATGTCCGTGTAGTTCTGTATGGTTTTTTTCAAAGGAAATTCAGGATATCAAAAGTACTTAAAATGAACTAGTCATCTGCCTTTCAAACAACGAATAGAAAAAAAATATTATTGCAAGTTTAAGTTAAGTATTTGTGCATTATTTCTTTAATGTAGAATTAAGAAAACACGTCATTTTTTCACAGTGAACATACTCTTTTTTCCATTTTCCTTCATTAAGTTTACCGTTACTTGTCAATTTTGACACTATGAATTTTCTGGTTTTTCACAGTTGCGATGATGATTGGAGACTGCTTAAGACAGTGTATAGGGATTCAACTGCATTGTTTTTCTTAAAAAAAATAAAAAACGTATATCCCAGGGGTTTATACCTATTTTACAGTATTCCCCAAAACCCATCAAAAAGTAATTTTAAAAATTTGGTTTCCTTTAATTAATTTATATTTAATTATTAAAAAATAAAAAACAAATAAAAAGACCCGTAATCTTCAAAACCCCGTAACCTCATATTTCCCAGACTTTTAAAAATTTAAAACTTCAACGAATCGGGGAAATTTTCCAGTGTACAGCTCATAAATAACTTTAACAAATTTAATTTTTAACAGAAAAAAAAATCTGAATTTTAAACATCTTTAACATCAAGAACCATAAAGAAATAAGGCATTATTACGATGCAATCTTCTTTCTCTGAAACCATTTTAAATCTTCCAAATGGTTGGTCAATTTATATTTTATTCAACATGAATTCCAAAGAGTATTCTACGTTGTTTACATTTTAATTCTCATTTATTTTCCATATATTGAGTACACTGAAATTTCATTTGAGCCACACCCAACAATAATTCTCGAGTTTTCTTCATCGTATGCCATAGCTAGAGGCTTATTCAATCCATTTGCTGGCTCCACAAGTATCCCCTCTTTCTTTCCATCGTTATCAATTTGTAGGATATTATTGGAGCTTGCACCGCTGATAAAAATCAGGTCCCCAGGCAGCACACATATACCACGTGCTTCCTTTAGTTCAGGGTCAGAAAAACTCCAAGCTTTCTTTCCGTCCTTATTCAACACTATCAATCCGTTTACTTTATCCGTAATGTATATAAGTTCTTTCATAGCACTTAATGCGATCTTTCTCAAGAAACAGAAACCCCCTTCATGTTTGTCGTTTTTCATCCTTCTCGAACTTTAAAAATTTAAACAACAATTCGCTTTGTTGGGGACACACATTTCGTTTTGCTAAAACAACAAAATCTCCCCATTGCTGGTCATTTTTTCCAAAAATTCCCCCTTTTTCGCCCTTTTTCCCCACTTTAAAACCCCCGAAATTTGGAGGTTTATAGAAATTTCCCAATAGCCCTTTTTTTAAATTTGTTTTCTGCATTGCCCAAGGACAAATTCAATTTTCCAGACTGCGATAAATTCTACACAAATCATGGGGTTTTGCCCTTTTTTAAACAGGAATAAGGTCTCTTACAGTAAATTTTTCCCGTTTGAGCCCTTTTCGGGCATTTGATTTTGAGTGTTCAAGCTTTTCAAAAAATTGTGCCTTTTTTCCATAACACAAACCCCAAAGTAAACGTTGCAGTGCTCTTTTTAATTTTTAAAGTGTCCAAAAAATTTTTTATTTATATTTTTTAAAACACTTTTCCGACAATGTGTCCAAGACTGACAATTTTATCCTTGAGACCTTGGTTAAAGGAAAATCGTAATTCTTTCTTAATCCATTCTTTGGACATATCTTCAAGAAGTGATTCGCCTTCTTTAACAGCATTTTCACAAGCTTTAACATTGACAAATACTCTCGAATCGTTGAATGCTGAGAGTTTCCCTAAGGTTTTGGTAGCTGATGATATGACAGTGCCTAAGGCCGCTTCGTCCGTCTCAATAGCTTTTTTGTACTCTTCATGTTTTGAGCGTATTTGTTGTTTTGAGGTTTTCGCAAGATCTTTAATTCTGTCAATAATTTCGTCTTGAAATTTGTCAACGTCTTTCATAAGTTTCTCTTTCTGGTGATGAATGCTAGTGAGGTTTTTACTTCTGACTTCTTTCTCTGATCTCATACGTGATATAATTTCATCAAGAGATTCCTTTGATGATTTATACTCCGCACTAGTTTTGATACCTTTTCCAACATGACGCAGTTTATCCACATGCGGACATGTCCTAAGAAAAAATCAGATTTAATTGATATAATCCGTTTATTGTTTAGTGTGACCTTAGAAAAAAATCATATTTAATTGATATGATATGTTTATTGTTTCGTGTGAACGTACAACTTAGTTTTAGAGTCAGTAGTGTAAATAAAGTTTCTATATAATAAACAACATCTTTACGCAATTATTAATAACGTTATTATACACTGTGGTAAAGAGCAACTGGTTGTATTATAGGGCCATTCAGAAAACTGAAGTTTTTTACAAAGGAAGCATAATATAGTTTGTTCTTTTAATTTATCTATTTTGGCGTTCTAATTTTTAAAATCTTAAACTGAATTAGTATCAAAATTTTTTCTTCATGACTATTTTCTTATCTCTTTGACAGTAATATTTAATGTTGTAACGGCTCCAGAAAGTCAAATGACATTCATACAACTAACTTGAGAAAATTTCTTATCCAGTTTCTCTACTGTCATTATGTTATCAATATAATCAAAATAACAGAAAACAGACATAGGTCCTATGGGACAATATATGCGTACCAGCAAAATAAATACAAGAATAATTTAATATTTTGTGTTAATGCTGATGAGATATTGATAATTTTACCCTATAACTTTTATTTTTACAAAGTTAAAATTTTTTAGATTAGATAGCAAAGAAAAAATACCTGTGTCTCACCACGTTACATGTTTCACAACAAACAACGTCATGGTCAGCGCAATACTTCTTTATTACGTTGCCATGATGCGTGGCGCATCTCTCCATCATTTTGAAGTGTTTTCCTGTCTTTGACTAATCCGTTACAATAATATTCATATGACCAGATTTGTTTACCATAATAGTAAAACTTTGTTTTTTCCCCAATTTATCTACGGTAGTTCCGACTTGACGCCATTTTTATCTGTGAAAAAAACCGATAGTGCCTGTAATTGCAGAAGAACAATTCCATGAAGATAAAATTCTATTTCAATTTCCTGAGATAAAAATAAGACCATAAAAAAAGAGAATATTTTCCGTCCACATTCACTAGTTATTAAAGAGATTTCTTTATTCTAATCCAATCTATGCAATGTGCAACGTTGGCTCTGAAATAACACAGTAAAGCGTTGTTAAAGATTGACCTAAAAGTAGCTTCTTGTTAATAACAAATACGACTCAAAATATGGGGAAAATTCTTTCGGGTTTCCCTTGGCTTAGCCCCCGATTTTTAATTTCACAGATTGTCCCATCCCCTCAAGGGGCCCCGTGGGGCCCGCATTCCCATCGATTAAATGTTTTTAATTAAATGAAAACCGGCATTTTGCTCCATAATCAGTTTTTCCCGTTTTTTGGCCCCTTTATTTTTTTTCACAGGCCCTTTTTTTTAAACCCGGGGCATCCCAAATTTTTTTGATCGAACCCCTTTTTTTTCTTCGCTTAAATTTTATGGGTTCCCGGTTAAAGGAATTAAAAAACGCATTCTAAATCCGCAAAAATTCACCCCTTTTTTTCGGGAAATTGATATGTTTCTAATATGCTTCCAACAACATTTTTTCCCTCTTGTTTTTCTTCACAGGGTAAAACGTTTTTTCGTTTTTTAAAGGGTTGGGAATTTTGTTTAAAACCAAAAGTACTGAGGGGGGGGTTTGGACGGTAGCTTGCAAAAACAATTGCCTCAATCAAACCAATACTGCAACATTTACATTTTTTTCGTTTTGGACGTTCGTTAGAGAATCATTTTTATACTCGTATATACTATATTTGATAATATTTTAATTATTACTTAATGTGTAAGCAGTACGCCTATCACATTCATAATACATGTACTACATTTTGATGAAAATAAAAAAAATATTTTAAATAGTAAAAGAACTTTCAACTAATCAAACTAAGTTAAGACATTAACAATCCCAATTAATAACCTTATATTTGTCAAGTTGTGAAGCATCTATTTCTAATTTATAGAATACTTTATATATACTAGATATGATGTAATACTATGCAAAATATTGGGAATAAACCACATTTCTTAACTGCTTTTCAATTGATAGTAAAATTATAAGATAAAATTTTCACAGTAGCCGGACTATATAAGAATGCGGATTAAATGAATATTATTATCTTAAATTACTTGAAATATTATCAGAAATACACACGCCGACGCGAGTAAAATATACTTGATTACGAGAAGCAGATGAATATCATTTAAAAATGTTAAAAAATTCGTGAACTTTAACCGAATTTTTCTACAAGACTTAGTACATTTTACCGTCATGAAGAGTAAGAAAGAAAAAGACAGACAGACAGAAAGAAAGAAAAACAAATATAGTGAGTGAGTGAGTTGGTGAGTGAGTGAGTGAGTGAGTGTGTGAGTTGGTGAGTGTGTGAGTTGGTGGGTGTGTGAGTGGGTGGGTGGGCCAGTGAGTGAATTAGTGAGTGAATTAGTGAATGAATGAATGAATGAATGAATGAATGAATGAATGAGTGAGTGAGTGAGTGAGTGAGTGAGTGAGTGAGTGAGTGAGTGAGTGAGTGAGTGAGTGAGTGAGTGAGTGAGTGAGTGAGTGAGTGAGTGAGTGAGTGAGTGAGTGAGTGAGTGAGTGAGTGAGTGCCTTTCACTTCCTAATGAGATATAATCTATTCATATGTAATATGGTATAAGTTGATCAATATCCTCTAATTACTTGGAAAATACATGTTAATTTGCCAAATTAAATTAATTAAACGATGTCCTCTTTGCTAATATCTCAAATTTTAGTCCTGCTATTTGATTTGATGAAAATCGGTTACATAAAATGGGAAAATTGACCATGAAAATATAAGTATCTTACCATAACATATGGAAGAAAAATCTAATTATCATGTTTTGTTGCTTCTCTGTTATTACACGAACATTTTCGTTAGGTTTAAATTGTTTTTCAACAGTTTGTGTCTTGTTGCTACACTTCAGGCTATTTGGTGGATACGGAGACGCACATCAGACTGAGGTGATTCCGAATTTATCGCGCACCCGAGTATACCAACGGATTAGCTAGCTTGATAGTTCAATCATCGTTTCTGCCAACGTTTGGTCACGACGTCTCCCTTATATCTATATGTATATATGAATCTTAAGGTAGAACGCGACACTTTGCGAACTTTCGAGTAGCGACTTGAAAATTGGCATGCAAAAAGTTGACCATATTTCTGATTAGGTTCAGTTGATCTTATTTAAATAGTTTCAGCCAATTTTTGTGCACACGGCGTCAAAGTTGACCATTAGAGCCCGTTTTTTAACATGACGTCTTTGCATATCCTTGGCAACTGTTACGGTTATTTTAACGCCATTGGCGGACAAAATATTATAAATTCTACAGCATTCTACGAAAATTATTTTTTCCTTTAGCTGATATAAAATTAATTTTTTACGACGAAAAATGTTTGAAAAATGGAAAGAAAATTGTCAATTTTGTGTAAAATTTGACGTTCAGTTTAGCCGCATTTTTCGGCTTTAAAGCGGCTTATTAATAAATTCCTGATATAAAATTTTGATTTTTTTCTTTAAACGTACTTTAAAATGTATACTCAGTCTAAATGACAAAACAAAATAGGGGGTCACCGACTCAATTTTTTCGGTACACGTGATTTTATTACCCCCACCCCTATGGACAAAAGTCACGCTATCACGGGGCGTTTGTTATTTTTATGTCATTAAAACGATCGCCCTGTGTCAAAATCAGGCTATAAACGAAATTATACGCCATTATGACCACTGTAGAAAATATATGGATACAATAAAGGGTACGGAATTCCGAATATTATAGAAAGACAGGCAAAAATAAGTGAAATTTGAACACGTAGATGTACGGGACCGTATATCATGCAATACGTATATGACTAATATACATGTACCGTGATCCGTACACTCGTTATATATGGGAACTTTGTATGATATCCGTATTTACTAAAATACGTATTGTTTTTTAATTACAAGGTCAGATTTTTCAAAAATATGATATTTTTTTTATTCTTGTAAATATAAATTTTGTATATAAAACATTTGCATACTGATTCAAATGGTCGGTGAACAGAACATAATAAACACCGACAGATCCTTTACAGTGCCCGTAGCATATACTGATAAAAATGACAATATATATTGAAATATCTTTATTTTGTATAAAGATTTACATGTGCAGTATCTATGGTTCGCTATATATGTTCTGTTAAACATCCACAGACGTGTTTTTACAGCGTTTTATTATATTACATGTTTAAAATACTGTTTTTAAGTTTTTCTGTTCAAAATAAATTCTACCATAAATTCTACCATAACGTTAGCTATACAGTGAATAATGAATATATGCAAAGGCCGATTTGATAGTGATGTTATTAATACAGCGTTTATGGTGAATCCTCAATTAAACGTTATTTTTAACATTATGATATTCTAAAATGATAAGCCAAACGAAAATAATGTATTAAAGATGTTTATTTACTTGTAGAATCGAACGTGCTACATCTATAACGTTTCAAACATGACTGTTGCTTCGCGCTTATATAATTGACTAAATTTCATTTATGAACCGTATATTTGAATTTGTCAATATTTCGCACAGTTATTTAGCATATACTCTGTCAAATTGTTGCAATAGTTTTTGCTTTCAAATGAAATTCAAATTCTGGTTTTTAATAGGTGGAATAAAATTCATATCACTCACAGTTTATCACTCATAGTGTGGGTAATACAAAATGTATAGCTTTGCAGAATTTTTGGTAGACTACGTATTAATTTATGATTGAATTTCCGTAAATTTCTAAATATACATAAAAATATATAGTTGCTTTTTGCTCCTTATGGCATATTTCTCGATTCAAGTTTATTAATTTTAATGTATAACAATATCAAAAAGTTACACCGCAATGATAACTCTCGGCTGTATTTGTTTGCGCAGCGTACGCGTTGCCGTTGAACGCCTGACGTCATTTTCTGTACATTCGTCTGTTTACAATTCCATATGAAGTTATTAATCATGCTTAAAAGCAAGAAGGAAATTTGTATGGTTTTCGTACATTTTTTTTCAGCAAACATAAACGTCACAAAATGGAAAGGCGATAATAAATTCAATAAAATTTCACTTCGACCAAGCCCATGATAGTTAGACAATTGTAACACGTTATATTGAATTGTACCTGTATTTAGACTTTACGGTTCCGGTTATGGAGAGGTGGAAAATTTTCTCTCGCACTAAAACGTAAATTATATATGGAATTATATGTGATTGGATTTTATATTCAGTATGGTTTCTTTACACATTAGATTAACTTCATAAGTCGTGTACTATATCATGAAAATATAACTTGAATTAGTTGAAATTTGGAAGTTAGCAAATTTTCTTTGTCTTCTTTGTTTGAAAACTGTTTGCAATGACCAATGCGCAAACGTTGAATTGTGTTTACTGTAGACGATTGAATTGTGATCAGTAATCATTGATCGCTGGTGTATATAAAATATGGCACTCCGACAAAATCTAACGGAACTTGAAACCAGTTATGTTAAGCGATCAAACAACGGTAAAAATTCCCGTTAATACAGCGATGAAATCTGACAACTTCGCTCAATATGACTATAGAAGTACTTATGTCGCCAATGTCACCGAATAAATTCCAAAACATATGTCCCTAACATTGACTTAAACACAACGCTAAATGAGTCGTTATCATTTGAAGCCATTCCTCGGGTTGATAAAAAGACAGAAACGGATCTGAACGAGCTATATCAATTGCAGTCGTGGGTAAGAGACCTACCAGCAGACATGTTTGTCGACAGGTTGGTCTTAGAATATAACAAGTCTGACACAAAACTGGAAGAAAGCCGTCAAATGCTTTTTAACATTATAAAGGAATCGGAAGGGTACCCTTTCGATGTAAATACTACGCTTAAACGTCGTGTAAGTACCAGGCAGGGGGACTCTGCTGATATTAAGCTTGCCTACGATATTCATGCTATACTCTGCGTAATCGAAGGAGAAGACTACTCGTTATTGAAAAATATTATAACAACATCAAAAAAGCCTAATCGACGTAAATCATCTGTCACTTTACAAGATACTAATAAATGCGTTTTGCAAAGCAGAGATGGAGCAACTCAAGAACACGGTTGCATCTCTACAAGCAGATCTTTCTTCTTGTGAA